ACTTAAAATGCTGATGTACTCTTCCTGCAATCAAGTCCAAACTCTAACTGTAATTTTAGAAATGTTTAACAGGAGGAGTAAAATAAACCTAGCAACGAATCTTGAGTATTTTTTGTGGATATTCAAGATTAATTTTTTTACAATTTTATATTTTAATGTTAGATTTTCATCTCATTATTACAAGGCATATAGTACATATTTTTTCTCTTACTCTTTTGCAAAAATGAAAAAAAATGAATTGAATATGAAAAAAAATAAAACTCCAGCTTGTTTCCACCTTTCAACTGAGCTGGCGCCTATAAAAAATGACTAACTTTTGTTGATGTATGAATCGGCGGGGAGTCTATTTATCAGCAGGCCCTCTGCGGTCGCCCGCTTGGGTCCCTCAAGCCACAAGCCGCGTCGCTCCCCTTTGACTGATTAATTAGCCAATCAGAGGACATTTTTCACAGGGCGGCAGAATGGTTTATTTCAGCTAATGCCGGGCTTTCGAGCCGAGGCCCGTTGGAGCCTCGTCGGCTCTTTCGGACTGCCTGAGTGGCTGGGCAGAGGGGCGAGGGAGATAAATCAAGCTGGGCTAGCCCTCCATGTGGCTCCCCTAACTAAACCCCCTGAGGAGGGCACAGAGAGCAGGGGAGGTGGAGAAGGGGGGAAGGAGGAGAGCAGGACGGCCAGGGGCACTGCTCGCCCGCCGATAAGCTCAGGGAGCACGGGGGGTGCCAATGTCCCTGCATTTAAAAGGGGCCGGGCCTTTTTGATATCTCGGCAGTGAGAGCCTGTCGTTTGTCATGTGGTGAGTAATTGTGTTTAGGGAAGAAGAGGAGGCAAGGGATGGAGGAGGTTTTGCATGTGTAGGATGGATGATGGATAACAGAAAGCCCAATAGATGGACAGGTGCTACAGAGCAACACACATCAGACACGGTGTGTAATTAATGGCTGCCCTAAGCATACTTTTTTAGGTGGCTAAACAATAAAAGATGAAGCAGTGGGTGAAGTTATGGCCAACAATTTATCTTGCTTAGTTAGCCACCTGTGTGCGGCAAAAAGCCTTGCACCTGTAAAAGAAAGCTGCATGTCTTCAATGAATAACTATAATAAAGATGCTTAAAATCTCATACTTAGATTAACTAAATGTTCGCATTTGTTGGAGTGTACAGTGTCTTGCAAAAGTGTCGATACCCCTTCAATTTGTTTTTTTAAATACAACATTTTGTTAGATTACAACCACCAATTGTGATGCATATCACTTGAATTTTTCATCACAAATTAAAAGAAGTTAGTAAATAATTGTGAGGTTGAAGATGGGTGATAAAAAGTTGGGGGTTTGTTCAGATTTAAAAACAGCCTTTAGCTGCTTTTTTAGCTGCAAGCTAGGAACATGTAGATACAAAAGTATTTACCCATTCTTTTTTACAATACAGCTTATGCTCGGTGAGGTGTGGGCAACAGTTTTAAGCTCTCCTCTAAACTCTGAACTTTGACTGGACCATTCCTAAGACATGAGTGTGTTTGATTGAATTCATTTAACTGCGATTCCACGTTGGGGCTCTTGTCCTGGCAGAAGATGAACCTCCTCCCGTGTTAATAGTGATCTGCAGCTTCTCACAGGTTTTCTCTAATTGTCCTTTTGATCTAACTCTAGACATCTTTTCATCCCCCTCCAACCAGTTCCCCTGCCACCTCTAAGGAAAAGTTTCCCACCAGCATGATCCTACATGCAGGTCCAATCTAAACATTGGGTCTCATCTGACCAAGGCACCTGCTTTCACACGTTTCCTGCAGTGGGGATTTCTTATTGCTTTGTTTCAACTGTGGTTTTCTCTGTCACTTCTTAAAAGCAACATCTGTGGGAGGCACAACTGATCACCATCCCTTCAAATGATTGAGAGCCCTGTCAGTTAAGGCGTCTCTAAGGGTTTGTAGTTGTGTCATATCCCTTTTTTTAATGAACCAAAAATATGTTCACTGTACCCTGATTTGAAATCTTCTGCAAATGTATCCCTGACCCATTAGGTTTATTTCTAGATCTTTCCGACAACGTTCAATATCAATCAGCACACTTTTTACAAAATGATTAATAAAACTCAGGTAGTCTTAAATTAGACATTTATTGTCACCTGAATCTGAATTAATACATCTGTGAAGCACTTGAAAAAAAAACAATCTCTATTATTCAGTATCTAACTTAATGGCTGGAATTTTACTATCAATTTGATATTGGCTCAAGTGTGATGTTATGTCATGATAGCTAACTGTTAACGGCTACATGTGAAAACCGGATAAAAATCTGTATATGTTCAAATGTTATTTTTGACTTATTCAGTGCTGCCTTTGATGAACAGAGGACAGCTGACTGCATGTGTGTGTGCACTTGTCTTCTTCATGGAGTGTTGTGCAGAGCGATAAGGGGTGAGCAGGAAACATCACTGCGGAGGAAGGAAAACACCCGCTGTGGGGGGGACTGGTGGAAGGGATGCTGGAGAGACAGTCGTGGGTGGTGGTTGAAGAGCTGGAAGATTCATGAAGGGGAAAGAGAGCAAGTCTGGAGTAAACCATGAAGAAAGCTTCCGGTCCTCGCCTCACCAGGGCCGACATATGGGTTAGAGCGTGATCAAACACTGTCGACCCCTAAATCCCAATCTGTATATATCATTTTTGCAGCAAACAAATTGCAGACAAATTCGTAGATCAGGCAAACAGCCTAAATCCTGATTGGTCAATCACAGTTCTTGTTATTTTCCACGAACCTTAGATGTTCCACATGGCCTTGAGGGAAACTATTGTAATTGTTGCTATTGCTTTCAATAGGGTCAATGGTGTCCCTCCTGGCAGAAAAATAAGAGCGCATAACCGAACGATTAGGGGGGAAATCATGGTGTGTATTGCTTGTATTTCCAATGTTAATCAGCTAGGGAGCATCCCCTATTGTCATGTTATGGCAGAGCACCTACAGGGGAATAGAGGGAGGTTTTTGTGTACAATTTATGGATTTCCAAGATGCCAATTTCCTCAAGCCAAGTGTTGAGATAAACAAAGGAATCCCGCCAAACGATTTTTATGAGCTGCTGTCCAGAAGGTAGATATGTCACAGTCCTATTGGTTATCTGTATTTGGGCGATTAAACTTGAGAAGACAACTATTTGGTGACATCAAGATTTATTCATTCATAAGACAACATAAAGGTTTGCAGTTTGTTTCACCATAAAACACAAATATAAACCAGTAAAATCCTGAGTAATGTTAATTTGCCACGATTAATCAAATGTGTTTCCAGACTAAGCAAAGTTCAGCACTAATTATACCAAGTAAACATGTTAAAACGTGTGTTGGGGGGTAGTAAGATATACACTACGTAGTTCTAATTTAACAGTAATTTTTAAAGTGCTACTTTAACACTGCAATATTTACTGTGTGTAACGTCAAGTAACCGTCATCATGAGCGAGCTGTGTTGAACGTTAAGATGTCACAACGATGAGCTAATATAAAATGCTCTTTGGTTGGTTGCCAACACAAACAAGCAAAGATGGCATCAAGCCTTTGGAACAGGTCATGAAATTATTTAAGATACTAAACCACTGAAATTTGAACCTCCCATACCTATTGCTACACAAAGCTGAAGGGAAAAAAAAACAAGTCCAAGCAAAGCGCAAATGTTGCAGCTTGAACATTTTCTTGTCTCACAAATTACTAGGCATTGTACATAAAAAAAAGTTTAACAGATATGGCATCAAATTATTTATTTCAGACTATGCTTTAGCGTATATTGTGCTGCTCCAATTAAAACCAGTTGCAAAGTTCTAACTAAACTGGTGGTTAAGGATCCATCTGGAGGCATACTCCCCAAAAACAAGTCCCAACGAAAAGAGGTATTATCTATCTTTGCCGATGTTTCTGTATAATCCAATACCCTGAACATGTGATAAAAAGGAAAAGATGTGAAATTATTTTTTCAAAAAACAGGAACATTTCAGTTATTTTGTTATTTTTTCATGGTATAGTTCTATTATTTATTTTATTCAGGGTTACCCCAACAAATTAGAATTTTAAATTGTAAATTATTAACCAAAAAAGTTACCATAATAACTAAAACTTAATATGATTTAGTAACCTTACAGTTTACCAAACTAAGCAATATAATCACTCAAAATATAGGTATGGTAATCCATAAAAAATAAAAAAGAATAACCATATTACATAAGAATGATATATAATAAAATGTCCATCTACTGAAAAGCATCTGCTAATATCCTCAACATATGGGGTAAAAATGGAAGCTGGGATGACCTGAGCTTGTCAGTTTATGAAGTATGAGACCCCAACTATAGAGTCAAAAGGCAAAGTGATATCGGAAGTGACCAACTCCTGATGCCAAGAGCAAAGAAAAAAAAAGTTTTTTTGTGGGCAGCATCACTTCAGATTTTTGCAGACCTCGACATAATTTGGATTTTTCCTTGAATAATCCCTTCTGGCAGGCACATCCACCTGATGCGACAGTCTGAGACAGAAGTAGAAAAACGAAGAAGTGTGAAGGAAGAGACGAGTGAAAATCTCTTAACTGGATTTAACTGCTCTTGCCACCATCAGTGGCCCGTTGGCAGCGTTAAAGCTATTCGCAGCAACATGGCTAATCTTTAGCCAGAGGCAGCTCAGGAGCTGGGCCCTGCAGAACCCGAGGGATCTAACTACCAGAGTGACTGTTGAGGACATCAGAACTGATGGTCACCAGCAATTACTGAGGCAGATAATTCTAGCCACCTGGCCAGAGGTAAACCATCTCCTTTCTGAGTCCTAACTTTGATTAGGTTAAGACTGATCAAAGACCAACTCACTTCATTTTCTTAAGAGCAATAAGGAGTAATTAACACTCTGCATCACAAATATTATGATAAATGTTTAATATTTGATATTATATTTTCATCTGAAACAAGAACTCAAACTTTAACCAAAAAAAACAAGCTTGGAATTCTTTGTATTTAAGCATCAAATGTTTTGCATACCTGCTCCTGGTCTTTAATGGACCTGGCCCTCTTCCCAAAGATGCAATTAAGGTCTGTTTCACTACGGGATGACAGGTCTTTACCTAAAAATTTAGAACAGACAAATGGAAGGTAAATAAACAGGTTATTTGACTGAACCAAAACTTTTAAATTTAAATCAGGATTTATAAAAAATAAAAAAAAAAAACACAGCAACAGGTGGGAAAAACATGAGACATATTCTGTGTGTTTGTGTAAGTATGTGGGGGGTTTGCTCGGTTAAAAAAAGAGGAGTTGTGAGTAGACAACTTCGTGCTGTAGGGATAAAACAGCAAAGAAAAATAAACTGACGACAAGGTCCGCCATGTCTCCGGAGTCCCATTCTCAAGACTGGGCCTCAAAGGCTCCTGAAGCATGCAGTCGTCTGTCTCGAGACTGGGTCCTGTTCAAACAGCTGCATCCTTTTCCTTCAGCGGGACTCTGATAACATTTGGTTATTTATTGCTTTTAGGACCCTATCTCCCCTGCTTTTGACTTTGAAAGTAGCAGCACAGGGCATGTCTAAAGGTTTAAAAACAAACAAAAAAAACAAAATCAAGAAAGTATACCTAAAGCTAAAACAAGTGAGATGGAGGGTATATGGCGTTTGTCACCTTCTAGGCTTGGGTCATGTGTTAAAAGTTTATCTCCCTGTACAGAAAAAAGAAGTCCCAACGTCCATGGAATGTGTTATGATTTTAAAAAGGTAAAAATGGTCAGATCACATAACAAGTAAAACAAGATTCAGAACTCACTGAGTTCATGACAGTGACAGACACGCAAACCTCAGATTAAATGACTAAGGGATAAGTCTAAGGTAAACATTGTCGCATTTTTAACACAGCTCTTACGTAGGTTAGTCATGTTGTAACCTGTATAAAGGGAAATTTGTGTAAAATAAATACTTTGTTGTAAGAAGGCTTCTTGGAAAGATTTTTTTGACCTTTGGAAAAGTCTGTTTATTCCTTTTAGGTGGTGTCTCAGCAATAAAAAATAAAAAAAAACAGTTAAGTTATGTGGGTGTGGCCCTTAAAAAACCGAAAATTCTGTCTGCCAACAGCATATTCAGAACCTGATTGTAACTTAATTGTGTTTATTTGTAGACAGCATGATTACAGTTTGAAGAAACACCACATACTGGTAATTTAACAACTTATTTAATTAACAGGGGTCTCAACAGTGCCTGGTCATCAACCTGGTCAGACACTGATTTGAGATTGCATCATACTCTTGAGCCTTTGAAGAACCAACCAAATGCGCTTTCTGAGGTCAGAATAGTAGGTAGACCATCTGGAAGCTGTTTCTAATAAACTACTAACAGTAGACAAGTATTTACATCTTAGTGAATAGAGTTTAGTCCCTGGGAGTTGCTGTGTGGGATTGTCACCACCTGAAGAGTCCTGTTTTTTAAGTTTTCTTTTTTTTTTTTTTTTTATAAATAGTGCTGGACCACACCACTATACTGTCTTCAACAAAAGAACCTGGCAAGTTTGTCAAGGGTCTAACCTGCATACTCTTAATATGGTTATACCCACAAATTCATTTTCCTTACATTGTGGCAGCATTTATATGTGTATAAATAGGCTTTTAAAGTGATGTTAGCAAGTAGAATTGTTAAGATTAAATCTATAAATCAAAAAGAAGAATTTCATTAGCTTTTGTGCATTTTCTGGCTGCTCAAGATCTATTAAAACCTGTAAATGGCTGAATTGCCTATGAAGCCACCACACAGAAAGACGGGGTTGGAGAACTGTAGTTAAATTCTGCATTAACCACCCGGCTGCCCTGACAAGAGATAGATGGAGGCAACAATTAAAACTGGGTTACTGGTTTATGCTACAGAACCCAGCAGTGGAGATTTTGGTGCATTTCGCCTCAAACACAGCCCATCAATCCTCTGTGCTGGCAACAAGAGAACCAGCATAAACAGGATATCAATAGAAGAAAAAAAAAGCAGGACAGTAAACAGAAGGCCTCCACTGGGAGAGAGGTACATATCTTAAAGGCAAGAGCTACCTGAGCCACAATATTTTGACTAAAGTTAACAGTTGAAAGTTAGAAACTAATGCATAACATGATGCAACGTGAATTAAAAGAATCAGCGCCTGAACAGGTTGACCTTTCTTTCTCACATCCACTTTAGAACCCTCAGAGTATCACCTGACCTTTCCAGCCGCTCATATAACAAGCTTAACAACAGTAAATCTATTAGCAAGCCTTTTCTTGGCAACAACCTCACAGAAAGGGGAGTAGGCATTGGACAAGTCAGTGGAAGCATGCAAAGAGGCGCGGCGGATTACACACTGCATGTAGCTCTGCTTTGGTGGTTAAGAATTTCTAATGGCATGATAAAGATTTATAATAACAAAAGCAGTACATCTCCTTTTAAAAAGAAAGTCACAGATTTATTCTTTTTACTGTGGCTCTGAGCTACTTCCTTAAGAGGAGAGCAGATGTGTGCTTTTAATTATATCAAAAACAAACACTGTTCTGTTGACGTGTGATAAAATGTAAAGTTTGCAATATGAAATACACTAAGTAAACGCAGAAATGTTCCATCTAAACTGGGATTGTTTGTTGCTAGGCAACGATTGATGCTACTCTAACCAGAGACAGGATAAAAGAGTATAAGGTTGCAAATAAGGGTTGAATCATAGTAACGGCAGCAAAATAATTTAAATGGATAAATGACATTGTAAAAAAAATATGTCCCGCAATTTCTTTTTATCTGCTAAGTTTTAGTTTTATCACAAGAAAAATTAAAAGGCCAAAAATATTCTTCTAATACAAGATGTCAAGATATCATAAAAATAAATTAATAGCAATGTTCAGTCCAAGCAAAAATGGAAAAAGGACATCCATCCTGTAATTCAAACTTCCTTTATCACTAATACAGCTTCAGTCCTAGATGCATTGTACTTTTCAGACTACATAAAACTCACTGAATAAAAAACTCTAAAGCTGAGAGATAGAAAATGTTTACTAAAATGTAAATCTAATCTAAATGATACTGATTGACCTTCTATTAACAGCAACTAACCTTTCAAACATTTCCCTAATAGGCTAAATAACCGTTTATACTGAAAGAAAATTCTAGCTCATGTAAAGCACTGTGATTTTTTTGCCATCTTTAGCAAAGAGTTTTTAAGAATCACTAAACCTACTGTTAAAATTCATACTTTAAACTACCTTTAATAAAATGACAGAGAAAGGTGGAGGTACTTCCATTGCGCCACTTGTTGCTAGACACTGCTAGCTGAATAAATGCAACTCTTTTTTTCTGAGAAAGCCAATTTTATTTGTTAGGAAATGTTTCCAGTTAAAAAAAAAAAAGACTGGCAGTGATGGTAATAAAACAAAAGGAGAGTCATCTGTCACACAAAAACTAAACACCTATTTAAACGTCCAGAGGACTATGAGCGGTATGTCTGTAAAGCCGTCTAAAGCACGCTGCTGACCTGAGCGGATAGAAACACCAATTAACCAGCTAAGATAAGCGTGACTCTATAAAATGAACAGCTATTTTTAAATAAAATTTGAGTCTGTCTAAGATCTTAAAAAAAGGGAAGTTATAGATAATTCTCTAAAAGTTGCAACATGTTCAGGTTTTAGCAGCATATATCTTCAACTCAAGATCATCATAAGAATCTCACACCCCACAATCCCTGCTTTTCTACTGTACTACTGATTCTCAACAAGTGATTTTTATATCGATAAATGTGGATTTTGGACTATTTTACTGTAAAAGAAGAAGCAATAATATAATGGATGACATAATTTGGCCTTCAATAAATTACATCCAATTAGAAAATCTGAAATAACATGATTTCAGTTTAATTTATAATATAGTCTTGGGTATATATGCATATGCAATATAATTTGTTAAACTAGAATGATAATTTTGATTAAAATAAACCCTCTCTCCTGCTTTCTTTCTCCATCACCACAATGCCCCCTCCATTCTCTGCAAGCTTGAGCATCCTTGTACTGACATCTTTGTTTGGTTTAGCCTTTGATTCTTCTTCTAAAGCTTTCTGAACAAGTTAGGGATATATTAAAGAAAGCTTTGTACATTAAAAGGAGCTTAATAGCGCTGATAGAATTTTTTTCTTTTTTTTTTTTTTTACAGAATTTCAACAATGTGAAATTAAACTTTGGCACTACATGTGTTCTAAATAAGTGTGTTTACATTTTTCACCTTAAATGCAAAATGTTTATACTCATACAAACCACTCTGAGAAGCTTATCCTTTCAGCAACCGACATATGAGCAAGTAACCTCACTTAATTTGATAACCAAATTAGTTTTTTTTGTTTTTGTTTTTTTATTAAACACAATTAATTGTTTTAGCCCTAAAAGGTCTTATTTTAGTTTAGTATTGGGACTCTCCAAGCAGCATACACCTGGCCAACCGTTTTGTGGTCAAGTTGCTGACATTGCCATTTGCTTCCACTTTGTTACAACAGGACTAAAAGTCGATTGTGGAATATCAAGAAACTGCAGCTCAGGACTAAAGGCCAATTTATGCTTCTGTAGCATAGCCTCTGCAACAGTCAAATATGTCTCTGTGCATGACAACGCCCCCCGCGTGATCTGCAACCGTCGTTGCGCACCCAAATCCTGACTACATGTAGGACGGTCGCAAATGCGCACAGGAAGTACGCAGACAAAAAGCAGCTATGATTGGTCCTTGTTATGCCTTTCCGGCCATCTGTGTGGTTGTCCTTCTCGATTTGGTGCCGGGGCGTGGCATTTTCAAAAACCGAGGAACAACTACAATGGACAACTACGACGAAAGGTTAATCGGTCTTTTTGCCAACTCCATTAACAGAAGCTGTTCCTCTTCGATGTCTAGCAACTCTAGATCTATCTCTGTGACCATGATATCTTGCTGACGCTGCATTGTTGTCCTCGAATGGGCTCCCCCTTAAGCGTTGGTGGGAAACTGCTGTGCGAGCCTAAAAAATTCCAGACCAACGGTGCAGAAGCATACCAGCAAAACTGGTTCGCAACCGGACCCAAACAACATTTGATGTGTGCAGATAATTGCACAGGTGGCATCCTAGCACCACACTAGATTTCACTGAACCCCATTTTTCACACGTATTTGTAAAAGTAGTCTTACTATTTAGGCAAGTTTATAATAGGCCATCAAGTGATGCAGTGAGGCAATTTTCTGCAATTGTTAACTCTACACAGCAATACCGGTATTTGTAATTTGATATATTGCACAGATCTGTATTACCTTCACTGAGCCTATTGATGCCTGTTTGGCCTAAAGTTACAATAAATGTCCTACAAAGTCTGTCTTTCCCTCTGTACTTGTCTAAAGACAATCATAAAAAAAGGACCATAAAGTTTATTTTAAATAATGAAAAATCTTAGAAGCCGACCAATATGTAAACCCTCAGTGCCCACTAAACTCGTCTTCTACACAATACAGTCAATAATTAAAATGTAAATATGTTTCAGTTCCCATAATTGAACTTTAATGTAGCTGAAGGTAAACTATTGATGTATTTCAAGTAGTTTAAATAAAATGATTGAGATAATATATAATTTAATAAACTGGCAGGACAAACTTTTCAGGTAGTTGGAAAAACATATAGACACAAACATATGTACTGACCGAGTGTAATATTAGAAAATGATGCATTTCTAAATTGCTTACGTAACTAAAATTTGGTTCAGATTACAGAAAAAAGTAGTGGAATATAAATTTCAGAAATTGAAGCATATTAAGCAACCCACAAAGTCATAACTTGATACCTGAATGCTGCCCTGGAGTAGATCTTGTTTCCTGACTTGTTCCAAATTAGGAACATAAAAACAAGTTGATAGTTTGGACGAGAAACTGAAGCAAAGTGCTATCAGGCAGGCTCATCTAATGGGTCAAAGGTGGTGTTGTTTCTGCTGGGGGTGTTAATGCAGATACCAGATGCCCCAAACAGGAAACAGGAAGTTGCTTTTGAATGACGCAAAGTTTTAAAGGTTCTTCCAGGTGAAGAAAAAGAGGAGATATTTGTTTTGTCAAGTGTAATGAGCCAGATCTGAATCCAGATCTGAAATCAGTGTGATGCAAATCCAGTGCAAACTATATATTGGATACTATTTAATTATTTACCAAGTAAATTCATCTAAAATCCTACTAACCAATCAGTAAACAGCTACTAAGCAGTAAAATGTGGTGAGTTTCGACATCAGCATCCAGTAGCCCAGAAAACGTAATGTTCTATGCGCCTATCAGTGTGCCGGCCTTGACCAGCAAATCTTAACTTCCTGACATGTAAAGGGTAATGAAAGGAGCTGGAAGCCTATAAATAACCTCCCAAAGCGCTCACTGGGTCAACTGACCCAGCAGATACTGACAGGACTCTGATCAGGGTCTGTGGTCTGAGACGACAGAAAAAGTCCTAATAAGAAGTCAAGTGTACAAACTAGGGAGAACTCTGGCAGAACACCATGAAAGCAGCAGTACCAGCTCAACCTCAATACGAAATCATCTACTAGTTATGAATATGAAACTCTCTGCAGTTTGCTGTACTGATTGCAGTGAGAAGTGTTTAAAGTTAGAAAACACTATACTCACCTTTAGTGAATTTCGTGTAATGAACCCTCTTTTTAGAAGTCTTTGATTTCTCTTCCAGGCTAAAACCTTTGATCTCTTCTGGAGGAACTTCTACAGATAAGATATCACAACACAAAATTATGGTCTGTTTACTCAATAATACATTTTACTTTAGTATGTTGCACACATCAAACTACTACAAAATGCATTAGAAACAATCTTGAGTTATTTCATATTTGAGTGATTTATTAAATAGTCGTAATGTCTGCATCATGCATGAAAAGTAATCATTTAAATGATGGTACTTTACTAAATGTTGCACTGTAGCTCCCTCTGCTGTTTTAAAGGCAACAAAAATACAGCTGACACGAGATATTATGCACACTGTATAAACTAATCTAGTGTGTGACATTAAATCGGATCAAATAAGGTAAAAAGGGATTACAAAAAAAATTGCTAGATGCAAGAATATTGAGTAATTATGCTGGAAAAATGTGGATATGAAGTCCAGAACAAAAGAAGAGCTTGTGAGGGTGATGGCTGAAGCTGCAAGAGTTTCATCATCCACAGTGAAGTGTGGATGATTAAACTCTTGATAACTTCCATATTTAACAAATGAGTCATTTCTAACACAAAGATCTCTGTTTCGGTGCCTTGTTCTGTGATCTGATGAAACTGATGCATTTAGCATTGATGGCTGCCATTAGCCTATTTCTGAAGGAAACAAATGAGCAGCTATAAAGCGTAGGAAAACTATCCCAACTTTGAGGGTATGAGCAATAAATGATTGGCTAACCTAAAACATTTTACTCAAGACAGACTGTGAGAAATGTATAAAGACATTTAAAACATAGAATGTTAATACTTTAATATATCTACATCTTTAAATAAGAGGCTAAACATAAGGCATACTCTGAATCAGTAGTATTGTATTTTCACATATGTAGCTGCAAAAGGTTAAAAAGATTTACCTATGCTTCTTGTACCTACCATTACTGTTGTTTTGACCATGGTGGTCATTCAGATTAGCTAGAAGTTCATTGAATTCATCCTGGTGAGCAATCCATTTGTCCTGCAAAAAGATAATAAATCAACTGATACTATGCCTATAATTAATTTCAAACAAAAATTTGATCCCAAATTCAATTTCTTCAATCAAAAAACTGACCTCATGACTTGCATTTGCTCCGAGCCCATAGTTATTATTTTTAACTTTTACTTTGATGTGGTCTGTGGATCCTTGCTCGCTCCTCCCCAGTCCCTGAAAATTACAACAAAAACAGAATACCTAAACGTCTTCCCTGTGAACAAAGTTAGGTCATTTCTTAATAGCTACACATTACTTATAATGCAAGCTTTGTAACAACAATTTAACTTCATTATGAAACTATAAGGTGAAAATTGTCATGCTAAACAGACAAAAGTGCAAACTCAATTGATTTATGTTTATACATAAGAATTTTAGTTGTATGACCACAAAACATACATGTTCTAATATATAAGGGTTCAAAAGGTCTCTATGTATAAAAAAAAACATGAAATATGAGAAGCTGGGTTTCTGTTAAAAGACACAAAATGATTTTGAAGGGAATTCCAAAAACGAAAATTAAAAACAATTCACTGGACTTTGTTTCCAAGTTTGAAGACATTTTGCTTCCCATCCAGCAAGCTTTCTCAATTCAAAATGTCAGGAATAGCATTAAGTTCAAGGTTTTATACAGTAGCCCAGCATTTTGAAGGAAAGGTAACAAACAGAGGAGACTTTTTGAAGAGCAGGAATAAACTTTTTAACAGGAAGCGTGATAACCTCTATCAAAGTAGTAGTTATTGAAATTTGCTGGTACGGCGCAAAATTATGAGTGATCAAAGGCTACCACGCTGCAGCCTGAAGTGACACAAATCCAATTTTTTTTGCCCATATGCGACCTGGACCTGATCTTTTCATGGCAGTCTGAACAACGCAGATCCGATTTTTTCCAATGCAACCCAAACCAGTTGGCTATTTGGTCCTGAATCAGATACGAATCTGATCTTTTCAAATGAGACCTGTATCTTAACAGCCAGGTCGCATCCATCCGACCTGAACGTCATTAATACTCAACAAAGGTCACTATTCTGCATCGTGCTACGCAGAAGCAGGAAGAAAAACAACCACCATGGTGGACAATAATGTGGAAAGCAGTATTTATGTTTAACCATCTTGAAAAGATTGAGTTTTTAACATTGGGAAAGATCGCTAGATGCACTCCAGCACTACCATCCATGTTTACTTCCATAAACAAAGAACACGCTAGCTTGTGACGTCATTGCATCCTCTACTGCCCATGCGGAACACTTAAACTATATGAATGCAGTTCACACAGGAGATCACATACAAGTTGCCTATACTTGGAAATCTTAAAGGCTTCTTAAAAGAAATCAGATTTCACAAAAAATTGGAATTGAGCACTAAGGCCTGCAGTGTGAACGTAGCCGTTGACAATATTAATGAACTAGCAAATAGACTGCATTCCCACAATCAAAAAAACCTATTAGGCCTTTACCATATTAATTTTAGGCAATCACCTTTCTCCAGGTAAGGAAACATTGAAGACAGTTCTATTGTCTAATAAATGAACATTCAAGCAAACTCACTCACAAGATCTGAATCTAAAACTGTTGGGGATAAGCAGAAAACTAAACAGCAAAATTATACTCTATACAGGCCTCTTTTAAACAATCCCATCTAGATAGCCGCAGGAGTTCAGATGTTATAAAGAAGAGAGAGCTACAATTGCTCAACAGAAATCTGAAACTAAAAGATGACAATGAAAAGAAAAAACAAAAAAACATTGATTTAAAGAGCTATAGCTCGTAAATTATGTGATTTGTCAAATATGTTCTAGAACTTTTGCACAACTATCTGTAATGTCTTGAAGACTGTACACTTTTTGCACTCAGCCACAGACAAGCTTGAAGACTAAAGAAACAATTGGAAGCTAATGACACAAACAGGTTGTTAAGCCAACAGTAACAGTTCCTGAATTATCTCTAAAGGGAGAAAATAGAATACTCTCTGATGAAGACCTCAAGGCAATTGAGACAATTGAAGAGGAAAGTGAGACAATTTGCCAATGGAACAAGACAATTTACATTTAAAATAAGAAAAAGCAACTGCCTTGTCTTATTAAAAGTGCATATTATCTAATTATCTTATTTTTAGAGTAAAACTACTCATTACATTGGCAAATCATCCCATTTACCTACTAAAATTTAGGGTAAATACAATTGATTTAAGAACTTTTTACTTATTTCTAGATAATTTTGTAGTGTAAAATATAGTGGATAGTGCTGTATGGTTTGAGCTTGCATGGCTTGTTTTACAATCTCTTCTATTATCTATTAAGAGGAATACAAAATTGTGGTTTAGATGTGAAATTGGAATATTTTTCCTCTTACCGATCCAAAGAAGAAGCAAATTAATCAGTTATAGTACATAAAACACAGAGTCAAACTTATTTTTTGTCTGTGCACACTGTACAGCCTCAAAGTCCATCTGCTTTCAGCATCTTTTTTTTACTTAATCTTTTCAAGATAATCCTGTTTCTAGACTTCATTTGAACTGGTGCTAGCCATGTTATGTACCTGATGATTTTAGGTTTCCAAAGCCTTTTTATTTCTAATTAATTTCCTTAAATACGACTTGCAAATTTTTAATGGACATTTATGACCTTGAACATAAATTTTGGCAAAAGAAAGAAACCATGCTCACTTTGCCCTTTGACCAGCCCATTCGCTCCAGCATTTTCTGGCCAAATTTGTTGTCATCGTTGCTCCAGGTGCTGTTTCTTGGGTCCACAGACCACTTCTGTTTCCTGCGTGCTGAACAGGAAACAGCAGGAATTTGATTACATAACAGTCGGCTAACAAGTGCTCCCATGAAAGAGGAGAATGAGCTGTTTCAGACAAGGCTAAAGTTTAATACTCAACACTGTTATGATGCATCACATGTCACAAGATCATAGCTGTACCGAATAAATGTCCTGCGACAATTGCAGAAATGTTTCTTAAAACATTAAACTCAAAAAGTCCTTAATTTTATTTGTAGGCTTTCAGGTCTACTGAAGGGTGCCAGCTGGGTGTTTAGCAGTGACGAACTGTTTACTGAAACAGTTTGTGATCTTCAAACGGTCTGATTTCATGTTATTTTTGTTTTTACGAGGGATTAGTCTGATATCTTTAATGGCTGCCTTAAATGTTACTAACAAAATAAAATACCAGTTGTGGTAAATTGGCCGAGAAATCTTAATGGAATATTTAAATCATGTTGATCATTTTACTTCCTTATTAACAAGAAAAAAGCCGGAGTTCAGTAAACTATTTAACAAAAGTTACCAAACTGCGAGTACAGCAGCAGCACGTGTTTAAATCACCGACTATAACATGCTAATGCTAACTGGGGGTCCTACCAACAACAAGAAAAAAAAAACATTAAACAGTACATTTCTGCAATAATTTTAATAAAAGTAATTGGGCTTCTGGAAACAATGTGTAGAGATTTGGAGGGAATAAAAGAAAACATTAATAAGTAAAAGAAAATTGTAAACAAAATATACGCACGCTCTGCAAGCATTGACATCCTGGGTCCTTGAACAGATGACGCAAAGGAAGGGTTCCACAAAACGCCTGAACACAATGTAGTCATTTTTCGCTCCGTCTACCGGTATATGCTTTCCCCCACCAATAATAATAACCATAATTATTATAATAATAGTAATGATAATAAAAATGCCTATTTTATTTGGAACAAATTGTCATCATTAGCATATAGGCACAAACATTATGCACCACCCTTTGTCTATAAGTACATTACTGATACTACAAGTGATTGTAAGAACTATGTTATGAGGCGTAATATTATAAAACCACCCAGAACTTTTTTTTTTTTTTTTTTTTTTTTTTTTTTTACCATTTTAAATTAATAAAATCAGATTCTTCTTTAATTTTATTTTTTTATTCTTCTATAATATATTATTATTATTATTATTATTATTATTATTATTATTATTATTATTATTATGGCGTTAGTGTTATTATTTTGATTATATATGTTCTGTCTTCGTATCACAACTCATCAGCAGGGGGCGGTCGAGAATAATGACTAATATTAGGATTGCTTGTGCCTGGTTACACAATTTCAAACACTGTGTCAAATTTGTATTCTATTGGAATTTTTCACTTATTTTCCACAAAAACGGCCTTTAGTAGAAAGCTGAATAGAGACAACATAGAAAAAAAGCCCATATTTATGCTACATAGCAACTTTTCTTTGAATGCATCAATTTGTTGCCACAAAACATAAGAAAATGAATATGATGATGACCAAAGTTAAAAAAAAAAAAAAAAAAAAAAAAAAAAACATAATTTACATAGCCTTTTTAGCTTTGTTCCCATTTTAAAACAAACAGCAACAACTTTTAAAATGTTCCCGACGAGAAAGGAGAAACCTATCATTAAATGGATGGACATTTCTATCTACAGCCGAAGGAATCTCGGGTTCTGAATACACTTATTTATCAATAGAACTGTGGAAAAAGTTAGACACAGTTCCTTTCAATGTTATATGGAAACAGATTTTGTTCATTAAAAATATATATTCTCTGTAATAACAAAAGGCTTGGTTGCCTATGTCGCCCAGCCTTTGAAATATTAAATAGTTTGTGTAAAATCAAATGGTTAAATAACCTAGAAAACTTTTAGAACTATTGGGCGGATGGATTCCACATGTTGTTAATATGTGATGGGGAATTATGTGACATTATGGAAGTATTCTATACAATAAAATTCATTTTACTAATAGAACTGTGTGGAAAAAGGCATTGTGCTTTGCTTTCCTACAAATCTGATATGTCATATCTCATATTCATTGCATTTCATACACAGCATTTCTATCGAAATTTGACATAAATGTAACACTTTAAAAGCAGGCTGTATGATTTTTAAGATGTTACCAAACAAAATGTTATAAAGCCTCATGTTTCAGTTAGAGATCACCTTAAAAATATCATACTGATTGGTGAAGCGGAGGTCAGTAAAAAGGGATATGTTACAATAAATATATTTGAAACATGTCTTAACAGGATCAATTTACCTTCTGTCAATTTCAAAAAGAATAGATCCAGAACCAAATGTGGTTATTTTTAGAGTCATTTTGCATTACAAATGGAGTAAACGATTACCTATGAAGTTAGAGAATTAAGTTTGATATTAACTTTTCCTCTAGATTCTCTGAACTAAACATGGAGAAAAAAATTATTTATTCTGCTGATGTACACATAAGCATAATCTTGGACGGATGTAACACAACTTATAAGACAGAAAAAGAAATCAGCTTACCTTACAGTAAGATACATTATACCATGCTTTGTAAATATAAACATGGATGAACGATTAATCAAATAAACATTGTCTAACTTCTACTCCTTCTGAGAAAGCTTCACATTCACAAAAGTAAATTGTCAAACTTCAAGCCAAACATAATTTACTTCAGAAAGGCACTCCATGAATACAACACCACTATGAAGGGACCTGACTGCCAAAATGACGACAAAAAACATTTGTGTTCTCCACAAGCATAATGTGAATTTTTGTATGCAGTTTTTATAGTCATTTACATTTTAGTATCATCTCACACATCTCCTTTCATACCTGAATACTGATCACTTTGTTAATTATACCCCTGGCCATCAAGTGTTGAGTTTGTTCAACCAGATCATACAGTGATATTGATTCAAAGGTTTCTAAGGAAAACCATCTGATTGCATCAACTCATTGACTCGAAGGCAATCCCTCACACCCAGCATGCTTGTAGCAACAGTGGAGAGGAAAAACTCCCTTTTAACAGGAATAAACTTCCAGCAGAGCCAGACTCAGTGTGAGTGGGGATCAAGTAGATACAATTTGGGTTTTTTTGTTTGTATTTTCATCTTTTTTTTTTTTGGTTAGATGTGTTTGCCCGCTTTTATGGCTATGTGGTTCAATTTATTACCAGTAAATCCAAAATGATATTTTTTCAGCATTGTTAACGGTTGACTTAAAGACATTGTGCTTTAAATTTATTTGCACACTATTGACTTTGAATCCAAGAAAACATCCACATCGAATATAAAAGCCATTCTTGGGTGTGCAGGTGGTGCATTGGTTAGTGTGCACGACCTATTAAGTAGGCCTTAGTCCTCGACACGGCTGACCCGGGTTTGAATCTGACCTGTGGTCCTTTGCCACATCTTCCTTCCTCCTTTCCTGTCAGCCTACTGTTGAAAAAACCAGCCACTAATAATGTAAAACATCAAAAAAAAGAATACAAATGCCATTACTTATATGATGTTGATCTCCCTAAGAGACACATAGCACCTAAAGTAACAGCAGCTAACTTCTACAGTGACAGCCAGTGGTGTGACTTGGAAGTTGCTTTGAATGCATGAATTCTGTCTATTTAGCTGTACTAACATTAAGAATTTGAAAATTTTGAGAGAGTTACTCCGCTAACTCTCTTTTAAGACAGTTACTTTGGTTTTTAGCCTTAAAATAATTTCAAGTCTCCAAACAAGAGCATTTTTCTAAGATGAAACTTTAACCCACCAAATGTTTCTCTCTCTAAGCTTTAACCTCTTATAATCCACATCATTTTGGGTTATCCTTTGCATACCAATTTGGCTATTTTGCATACCCAAATGGAAAAGCAAATAACTTAGGAACTGTAAGCCCAAATTACATAGGCAATATATTATTAAGAGCTAACACCCTCTAGTTTCCTAATATGTAAAATTGGGTGCCTAGAACACAGGCCAACCTGCATCAGTTCAAAGATGACTCAAAGTTGTTTTTTTTTATTCTCTGAAATGATAAGTCTGTTTTGAACAGCAGTAATAAAGACATTCTTGAGGAAAAAACAGGTTTTATTGTATTATATTTGTTCCATATCATGTCAACCATAAATGCAGAAAATTTCAGACCTCTAACTACAGCAGTTCCAGAGCTGTGGGGCTTTGAACTTTTGGTGTCAGCTTGGAGCTGCGTGCAATGGTTTCACCTGCTGGTAAAAATTTTACCGGTGGAATTTTATGCATTTTGAGTTATTACCCCACTTAAAGTACACCTGTTCGCCAGCACCCGGTGGGTTTTAAGAGGTTAATGATACAAAATCATATCACAGTTGCACATATCCCTTTACTAAATAATAGAAACATGATACATTTCACCTGGTGTTCTGATAGCAATTCCAGTTCATGCTGTTCCAAACTAGATCACAGGAAACCTTAATCCGATCCAAAAACTACACCAAATCAGGGATATGCTCAAAATTATTGAGATACCCAAAAATGCATATATTTGCAGGATACAGTGTCGCTTACATCTGGTACTGAAACAATTACGTGTCGGATTCATGACATCTTACTGTAAAGGGCGTGTTACAGTATTCTGCAAATCTTCTTACATAAATGTCTGGGTGTAAGAGATAGGCTTTGTTGAATTGGTGACCAGACCCCAGGAGACACACCAGCTGTTATGGTGCTCCCTTCTTTGACTTTCTGCCGCAGTAACACATAACCTGCTGCGCTCTGTAGGAATTTTATGAAACAACGCATAGATGAAACTCTAGGGAATGAGGAGGAGCCCTGTGGGACATTTGATCTGTAAATATGTGTGCTTACCTCTTAAAGACATCTTACATAACTCACTCAGTTTCAACAAGTTAAGCTTCAAACGTGAAATGTTTGTTTGCTCTGCTGGCTTTTTTTCTTTGTCTGAATTCTCAGAAAGCCTTGAACACAGCACTTAAAGGTTGACTCAAATGTCTATTGAAGGCACATTTGCATTTCCATGTAGGTGTATTTAGTCTCTTTGGCCTCACAGACTGCAGCCAGTGAGAGCAGTATGGAAACAGCCTACACGTGAGCCTTGCAAAAACTATTCTGATGCTTTGATTTTTCCCCCCACTTTTTTCAGGCTAGCACACGAGACCTCATAAGCGTGAATCATCAAGAAAATGCTAACTGTTTTTTGTTTTGTTTTTTTAACCTGAAAAGTCTCAGATGTTCTGTTTTAATTTTACCTGAATCAATATTTTCCAACCATTTTAACACACTGATGTGCTTCTGTCTAAAGCATTCCACTGCAGCTAAAGCTGTATTAGGGTCAAGTGGCTTGACCCTAATACAATGACCATACATTTAGGTCCACCATCCTATTAATTTTGACCAGCTTCTCTGTCCATAGTAACGAACGGTATTCCCAAGAATTTACTCTATAGCCACCATCTTTAACCATGTTATTGTATGTATATATATATATATATATATATATATATATATATATATATATATATATATATATATATATATATATAGAGTGATTTTCAGCATTCACTTTAAGTCAGCATTTTGAAAGTTGGCCATCGGGTTCATTTTGTCCTACTTTCATTCATATACTTATTTTGTCCCTTACCTCTCTGTCACAAAGCACTTATTGCTACTTGAGTGGAAATAAATGTATGCTGTGTGCATTTAATAAACTAATTCAACAAAGTTTGTCACCTGGCATGTTGATCTCTGCACCACCACCTGAGTTGCCATGGCATTTTGGCTTCTTGTATGTTACTCTCTTACCAGGCTTTTAAAATAAATAAATACAAAAATATAACGTTTTCTACACACTTCACAAACATGTGCTGCTTTGTGTTGATAAG